GGCGGCGCCGCGCGCAAGAGTAAGAGTCCAGCCGTCAAGACAGACGAGCCGGACGAGAGCGCCCAAGATCATCACGCCGGAGCTGCTGCAGCTTCTGAGCCGCAAGGTCGAGGTGCTGCCGCGGAAGAACGGTCGCGAACCTCGGCGACGGGCTGCCTGCGGAGAAGAGGAACGTAACACCTCGCGCAGGGGGGGTCGGTGTGACGCACGTTTGGACTGGCATAGAGCGTAACGACAAGGCAGGACGAGAAATGGGGAATTGGGTTTGGACAGATTCGGCGCACTCGACAGGCCGCTGTCGCGGGCGTTCTGGTTCGCGGGTTCGGCAAGGGGAACGTCGCAAAACGAAAACGAGGCAAAGCGGGTGTTCACTTCGTACCGTGTACTACAAACAGGATTGATTTTTTTTGTGTTTTCCGCAGTGCTACCACAGCAAGAGGGATCTTCCCATACGCGAGGAACGTTCATGGTCTGACAGGCTAACAGGCTTCTCTCTTTTCACGTGATGAATGCGTCCAGACGAAAATTCCAGTCCATGCTGAGTAGAAATTGATTGCTATGCACACTGACCAGAGGTCATTCATACACGCGGTGCTGAACCGCAAGTGTAAACTCTATAATGCCCTTCTCTCGCTCCCGTTCTTCTTCTCCTTGACATACGCTAATGATGACCCTCACCGACGGAACCGCCCCAAACGCCTTCGTTCGCGCCCAGCCCCGGACCGACCGCCTCGAGCGGACGACGATTAATGCAGACCTCTAATTAAAGGGGTATATCTATGCTGTCTTCCGTCTCGCTGTACGGCGTCGGCGGTAGCGCTTCATGAGGCGATCCGTACGCGCAGGCCTGATGACAAGAACGTCACGACGCAGCAGAAAGGTCCGAACGAGTCGACGCGGCCGGGAAGGGTTTGGCAGAACATTGGCCGTCCTTGGCGGACCCATTTTGGCAAAGTACTGCTGGAATGAAAGGATTCACCTATACCACGGGTGAGGCCATTGTTTCACGTCAGGCGGAAGGCAAAAAGGGAGCAACACATTCCGGGTAGGTAACTGTGGTCCGAGATCGTGGGCTTCTGGGACAAGGGTTGTGCGCCAGCTCGTGGGCCAAGACGACCCACCACCAGACGGGCCGCCTCGGGCCTTGGCCTCGGCCTGCCTGGCGCCCGTGAGCTTGTCGGCGTGCAGCTGCAGGAAGAAGCGCAGGTTGCAGAAGATGCTGCCGCTGCTGTTGAACGCAATGGTGCCGCCCTTGTCGTCGTAGAAGATGTGCAGCACCTTGGGCGACAGCGAGTAGACGCCGCCGACCTCGGTGAGCAGGGCCGCAAAGGCGTTGATGGGGCCGGCGTACCGCTGCAGGAACGGCCCCGGTTCGAGCGTCATGTCGCGCGACGTGAAGACCTTCATGCCGTTGGAGGCCTCGGCCGCGAAGGCTATGTTCTTGGCGGACGTGCTGTCGCAGTACGTCGCCTGCTCCTTGACCTCGTTCATGCTCGGCGGCGAGAAGAGCTGGTTCGAGTCGTGCGACCGCGTTGAGTTGATGGCGTTCAGAAGGTTCTGCTCTACGGTGGCCGGACTCGTCACCCTGCCGTCGTCCTTGCCCTTCTGCCCGACGCCGCCGGTGCTGCCGCCGGTGGACGGACCAGGACCAGGCGGCGGGGGCAGAAGCTGTCGGCCGTCTTGCGCCGGCTTGTCAAGTTGGCCGTTGTGCCTGTCGTCGTCCTCGTCGTCGTCCTCGGGTGTGTCGAACCCCAGGCGTCGCGTCAGGTTGGAGAACAAGCCCTTATTCTTTCTCGTTGGTGGCATCAAGCTAGGCGGACGCTGACCCTCCTCGGGGCTCTCGTGTCCGAACGAACCAGGCATGACCGGCTCGGGTGTCTTCGCAGTGTGCCGAGCAGCCTCGGCAGCCTGAGTCTGCTGCTGGTCCCATTCCCGCTCCCTGTCCTGAATGCGCTTCTGCTCTGCGTCCAGCGCCTTGCGCCTCTCCTCCTCGGCGATCCTCGCCTCCGCAGCCTTCGCTCGCAGGATGCGGTCGACGTTGTAGCCTCGGGCCCGCAAGCCGAGCAGGTCGAGGGTCAGGAACGGCTCGAAAAAGAGGTAGGCCTGCTGGTTGTGCCGCGTCAAGAGAAGCTGGCAGATGGCCTGGCCCACCTGGTACATGTCCGGCTGGCCGTCGGCGGCGACGTACAAGACCCAGCCCGCCCGCGTCTGCACGCTCGCCGCCGAGCGCTTCTCCGTGTGCGTCTTGCTCTGGCCCCGCAATGTGCGTCTGAGAGCCACGTTGGTCACGAGTTCAACGATGAGATTCTTCTCGAGCCACTTGGCGTCATGTTTGAACGCTTCCCGTCGGTAGGTAGCGTATTCGTGGAGGAAAATCTTGCTGCGCTCCACAACGTGTTTCCGGAGAGCTGCCGCCCTGTCTTGCTTATCGACGTGGGGACCGATCCGGACGTTCTCCTCGACGAGACTGCTGAGGTTCTGCGCACCAAGAGCCAGGTAAGAAGATCTCGAGCGCTTCGTCCTCCGGTGCCGTGAGCAGATGATCCTTGAACA